AGTATATTATCGATGTATCTAGCAAATATTTTTTTAGAAATTGTTACTACGATTAAATTACTAACCTAACCTAGATGTTTATAAATTTAGTAATTTAACAGCAACAAGTACGTTAAGTAACTAGAGACATAATAATATCTATGTAAAAATAACAAAAGTATTATATTATTGATGTGTTGATTTCTGTTGATTCTTAGTTAATAAACATAGTTTTTAATCTATATAATGCTTATCTGTTGATTTTTAAATACCAAGAATTATTTATATTTCATTTGATTAAATATAAACATTCCACAATAATAGCATTATTATTTTCATATATAAATATATTTTTAAATTTCTCGCGGGAATTACAGCGGGATCCCGCTGTAAAGGCGAATTTACCGCAAATTTCCAGCTGGAAAAAAAAGACTGCGGGATTGCAAACCCTAGTTGCAATGTCAGGGATCACATTTGGGACCTATACTATTTTTAATCTATATCGACGATATCCGGTCATTGTTTCAAATTTTGTAAATTTTTACTCTACGCAGACGATTTGAAAATTTAAAATAATTCCGATAATTGTATTGCCTACCAGGAAGATTTAAACTCTTTCTTTGAATACTGTAAATTGAACAAGCTTCAATTAAATTTAAGTAAATGTCTATATTTGTTTTACCTGTATCCAAAATATATACTCTAATAATTATAACTTTAATAAGAATATTTTAAATCAAGTTGAAGAAATAAAAGATCTTGTGGTTGTCTTTGACAGGAAAATGAGTTTTTCTTCACATATTGATTATATAACTTTAAAAAGCAACAAAATGCTTGGTTTCATTGTCAGAGTTTGCAAAAATTTTAGGTTGATTTTTGCTATTAAATCTGTATATTTTGCATACGTGCACAACATAATTAATTTTGCATCTATCGTATGGAGTCCTCAATATACCATATATAAGTCTCGACTTGAGGCCATACAGAACAGATTTATGCGATATTTACACTACAAGGAGAGTGGTGTGTATTCTTTTCATTGTAGCACGATGTTACGAAATCATTATCATATTATTTCATTGGAGAATCGAAGAAGAATAATAAAACAATGAGGTTCTTGTATACAGATGTAGTTGATAAACAAATAATAGGTGATTTTAGTACAGTCAATTGTGTAATTCTCGGAAATGGTGCATGTTCATTAATTTTAATAGGAGTACCTGTTTCCTGAAAAATTGAATCTTACATCGTAATATGCAACATGCAATGTAGAAAACCTAATCTTACAAAAATGCATTTTAAAATGTTTCTAGAAAGTGACTCTATAAGATTGTCTACTATTAACACTGCTATATTTATCGTTTACAAAAGAGGCGTTTGTTGCAAATTTTTGTTTCTAAAATTGCGAGAGGAACAAACTGTGTGCAAATTCAACATTTACATTGTAATTATTTTTACAATTGTAAAATTATTACAAATTGTATTGTATATTTTCAAAAATTTTCAAACAATATTTCGCGAAAGTTTCATACAATTTATTCTTGTCGCGATTTTAGGAACAATTGAGTAAACTATGGCGGTGTTTTCTGTGTGTATTTTTAGTAATATTCGTTACTTTAAATATTTGTTACGTACCCTGGAAGTTCGCTCATATTTTCTCTAAATGCCATAAAAAGTTCACGCCAGTTGAAGCGCGACTGGCTGAATTCAGCGTTATACGCCAATGAACTACAAGCAGGTAGACAGTCACAGACAAACCCGTGAACATCTGAACTTTCATCGTCCAACTTCATCTCGGAGGGACCGTAGTTTACTGTTTGACTTATCAATTCAGCTGAAAAACAATCTTGCATAAAACACTAATATATTTACATATTTATTTTACACACTACTGTTTAAGTTTGTCGCAGTAGCCGCACTTAAATACATACATACATATATTGCACTTCCTTAATCTTAGCTAGGAATGTTTGACCTGTCCTTGATGTTCTCGGGTAGGCTCTGTGGGGGCGGACCACAATCAGAACCCCTATTACCGAATCTTTCATTTAAAAATTTACCAGCAGTCAAACTAAAATGTGGGGGAACCCCGTCGTGCATAAACCACATTCTTTATCTTAGCAGGGAACATAGCCAAGTAGTTCAGGTAAAACGTTTTCAAGAAAATGTTTGTAGGAGGCACCGATTAAAGTTCTTGGTAAAAAGTAAGGCCCAACCCAATAATACCCACCCATACGTTAAAAAAAAAACTGATGTTGAAATCGAGATTCCATTATGGCAGGAGGTTGTTCATCAGACCAAACGTGCAGGATAGTCTTGCGGCAGTAAGGCTTGAACCATTTGTATGTGTTACGGGTATAACTGTTGATGCTTCAGAACAGACCAAACTAATTTATGATCCACATTAAAATTTGGATAGATGTTCTTAATCTTCTATTCTTCCCAATACTAGTATTTGGGTCTTCTTTAATTTCGTGTAGAATAGCTTCTTCCAACTCAGGCGTTCTAACACTCAAAAATTTTCCAGAAATTAGATCTTTCTGAAATAAGGTTGACTCCGAAAGGTGCTGAAAAACATTTCTGAACCTTTTTTGGATTTGGAGTTGTCTGATCTGAAAAATTTGCCTAGCCTCAGTACCATTTCTATCTGTAAGGTCACAAATGTAAACCATATTGGCCCTTTAAGCATTTGAATATGCATAAGCCATTATTAAAACTTAACATTTTTAAAAAATAAGCTTGATTATGACAATATTAAAAAAGATGACGGCTTCTTATTATAATTTTTTCCATGGCCCTCCTAAAATTTTTTTAAGTAATTTAACTAACTATGTATAAATGCACTTGATCAAATAAATTTTTCAAATTACAGAAAAATTCGAAAAACATATTTTTTTCGGGAAAATTTAACGTGCTGTATCTCAAAAAGTAAATATTTGTCGAGTATAGTTTATTTAGCAAACTAACATTAATTTTTGATAATGTATTGATTTTTGAAGTTTGATAAAAAAAAGTGGACCACTCTGTATATTTTTTTTTGCACATAATGATCGATGATACCTACACCTCCGCCACTGGTAAGTTTCTAAAGCTGGTAATTTTTTGTTTCATACCTACTGTTATACTAAATATGCACACCGAATTTGGTTAAATTATCTCAAGCCGTTTAGAAATTAAAAATTAAAAACTGATGTTTTTTTTTTAATTTTTGACACTCTGTAGCTGAACAATGGCTGTCCTAAGACCCCACATTTATATAACAATAATCCCTTATTTTTGGCTACAGAATACGCCCCTGGATTTTTTACCTTGTCTTACTTGGCCAATGTAGTAAACTATTAGATTATAGGTAACTCGAAATGATGTATTATATAAGTTTGTAGTGTTTTTCCATTACAAGCGTGCCTTGGAAATCAATTGTAGACATATATCAAAGTTGTTTTAATGCCATAATATTGTTTTATCCGAACTTATAAACTTCCGCAAATTGAGTAAATTCTTTTCAAAATAAATTGAACTGTTAAGTAGAAAAAAACGGGCTGTTCCGACATTTCCTTTTGTTTGAATTCAGTTGCTAAGGATTTGGGTGCTGCTAGATCCATTTGTGTCATTTACAGAGAGAACGCTATTGGGGAAAATACAGTACGAAAATGGTTTTCTCGTTTCAAAAGCGTCCATTTTGACATGAACGATTCTCCAGGTTCAAGAAGACTGACTTTCCTGGAAATTGTTTGAATTGTTTAATTCATGATGATCAACCTCAAGGGAATTGGTGTGTATGAGGAATTGTGACCAGTCGACCATAATACGATGTATGTTTTGGGAGAAAACAACAAAAATCAGTGTGTCAACATGTATGCCTCTTTGTTGGCGAAACATCGTTTAGCCCAGATGTTATGGTGCCTTACGTCAACGCCAAAATAAGAAAAGAATGGCTTAGCGTTAACAGGAAGACAACTTCCTGAATACTGTACTATGAATTGCTTCCGATGAATGTAATCATCATTGCGTCATTTACTGGTAGCAACTTGCAACTTCGTCGACATGAGGCCGCAATTCAAGAATAAAAAAGCCAGGGAAGACATCATATTGATTGTGCAGAATGATAACGCCCATCCTTGTACTATTAATATCACAGAAGCTGCTATTCAGGAACTCGGTTGGGAGCTTATTCATGATTTCCATATATTCTGCTCTTTATCGAGGAATGTCCTTTAATGACGTCGCGCTTGAAAATTAGCACCCTGAATTGTTCGCTTTTAAGTCACCGTATTTCATAAGAGGTGAAATAGATAAATTGGCAGATCGTGGGGAAGTAATCTTAAACGAGAATATCTCTATTTCACTGTTCCTTCAATGTTATAATAACCGGACTTCACTGCAGTTTCTTTCTAAGACTGAATATTTACTTCAATTAGCGTGCAATATTTTGTTTACATGCCGCACAGTGGGCAAAAATGGAAACAATTCGAGCTACGCGGCAGGTAGATGGTATAGCAATAAATGTTTCATTAATAACGGAAGTGCGGAAAATATAAAATTTGGATTTTTTCTAATAAAATCCACCAATCCAATAAACCCAATAATCCATTATCCTCGTAACCAAAAATCATAAACCCACAATTCCTAAAATCCCTAAACACCTAAACCTTAAAACCTCCATTAAGCCAAAACTCATTAATTATTTTTCAGTGTAAGATGTTTCTGGTTAAGCAAAAATAAGTAATGGCACAAATAAATTATATAAAATATTCCAACAGCAGCAGCATGTGTGAGGGAAATGAAAAGTGAGGAAAATTCAAGGAATTCTAAACAGGGAATTTAAACTGTTTTGTATCCTTTTCCACAAAATGTGTAGCTACTTATAATGCAGAAGCTGTTATTCCTTGAATGTATACGTTTTATATGTTCACCGCCTACTTTCGAACGCATCAATTTTTATACTTTAAACTGTTTTTCTTCTTTTATCTATTACATAACTTTTAAAGGGAATTCTCCTGGACCCCTTCTTTTGCATACTCCTTCGCAAACGCTTGGAATAGTAGTAATCAAGTACATTGAACCAAGATTGGTTTTAAAAAGAAATTCATTAGCTATTTCTCGATTCATTATTAGATACTGTGAAATAAGGGAAAAGAAGCAACAAATAAAACTTAAAAGCTTTGGGAAGTATCATGAATATTCTATACATCCGATTTACATATATGTTAGTATGCCGGTGACTTACACAACATCGATGTTCAAAGTTCAGCTTCGTTCAGAGACACAATGGATCAAAAATATTAGTTTTGAATAAATTTTTCATAATTTTAAAATATGGCGAATGCGCCACGGTCACTAGGCGCAATGAAAAAGCAAATTATCATCATAATTTCAGATCTTTTTATAACAATTTAATACAATAATTGGAAGTAATAGTTTACGTAATGATTACAGGGGAAATCTTAAATGTGTACATACAGGGTATCTCAAGGTGACAGATCATTAAAATTTTTTCAGACTACTTCGATTTGAATTTTGAAAATTTAGGATACCGGGTTTTCGGACATACCCTTCTCAACTAAAATAATGGCGTCCACGTACCACTTCCAGTTATACCGGAAGTCGCCATCAACTTGCTTATTTTAAATGGAACACCCCATATATTATTGCAATTTTGAATTCTACGTGTTATTTTAGGTGGGCTTTTTTGAAGTTTCCCTATTCCTAAAACTAACCGTTTTCGAGATATTTAATTTATTTTCAAAAAAATGAAGAGAAACACTGACTAGCTTCAAAACATGTATATTTTATAGTAGTATAGTAATAAAGCAACAATATTTATAGGGGGGATAGCTAGACCTCTAAGCTTCCCATCCATACTTTCAAAGTGGCTTAGTTGCATAAAGGGTGCTAAAAATTTAATGCCGAGTTTAGTTAACTTCAAACCTTTATAAGTCGGCTTTTTTAAATGGAACACCCTGTATGTTTTTCTATATTCTGATACACAATTTTATTCTCTTTCGAACGGTATCAGGGTTCCCTATACCTAGCTCTTCTAGTTTTTAAGTTATCTAATATTTTTTGTGTAATCACCTAAAATCATGTAATTTCTTGGGAGGATAGCTGTGGAATTTTTAGCAAAACTTCAAAACAAACAACTAAAGTGTCACCAGTTATTTATTATTATTTATTCACAGACGTTGAATGGGATTCTAAGCAGAACATTTACAGTTTTTAATGAGACATATCCCAATTTTCCACCAATGAGCAAAATAAAGAAAAATTCTAAAAATCAACTTCATACATAGTAATACACAATTTTAAATATGTGTGTTCATAATAATAATGCACTAAGATAAAAAAAAATGAAAAGTCATAAGTGTTCAATATGACCCCCGTTAACAGCTAAGCACTTGTGGATTCTAGAGATAACACCATCACTCACCGCTTTTGCTATTTCAGCTGCAGGCAATTCATGCCACTCTCTTCGTATTCGAGCAATCAAATCCTCTTTTGAAGCAACGGATGTAGAATAAACTTTTTGCTTTATTACTCCCCAAACATAAAAATGTAATGGAGTGAGGTCGGGAGACCTCACTGGCTAATTCCACGGTCCTAGGCGTCTCATTCATCTATGTATCTTCAAACATTTCAGTCAGCTGTTGATCGATTTGATTGTGACAGTGAGGTGGAGCCCCGTCTAATTGATACAAACACTCCCTTAGTTGGTCTAAAGGTATATATCATCTTGAAAATCTGCCACAACCGTTTGCAAAATATTGAGATATCTGTCGGCATTTAAATTTTCTTCGTAGATATGGTAAGAAATTTGGTTATCTTTAATTTAACATTTACGCTAAATTTATTTTGAATGTTTCTTTCCCGGATAACATGAGGATCTTCAGATGACGACAAATGAGTATTATGTATCAATCCCAAAATCCAATAACTCCAAAACCCATAAACTTCAAAACACATAAGCCCCAAACCCCATGAACCTCAAGATCTACAGGGTTTAGGTGTTTGTGCGTTTATGTGTTTATGGGTTTTAGGGCCCCGATGTTTATGGGTGTATATGTCATTAGTTTTATGTTTTTCGGTTATTAAGATAATGGATGATTGGGTTTATTGAATTTATGGATTATTACATTTGTGGGTTATTCAAGACCTAATGATCTTTTTCCTGTTAAAAATAACCTTGTCAAATTTTATATTTTCCGCACTTCCAGCATAAAATATATGACTTCTTAATTTGATTAAAGAAACATTTATTCCTATACCATCTAACCTGCCGCGTGGTGTTTCCTTTTTTGTCCACTGTACGCCTGTGAATAGGATGTCGTATACTTTTCGTTTAGCAAAGCAACGAGCTATTCTCTAAGAGCCCAAATCTAGCAGGTAACGGATAACAAAAAAATGCACAAAATATCGCTGTTGTAGGCGTAGAGAAGGTATAATATTCAATACGCGTGAAACCCACTTTCACTCTCTTCCGACTTTATGACAATCACCTACCATATCTCACCAAGGCCATATCTCACCACTCGTGTGAAAAGTGTAATTTTCAATACGTGTTGCACAATATACGTATTTTATTTATACCTATACTTACATTCTGCTTCTAACATACATTTCATACTTCCAGGCCCACAAATAGGTGTTGACTTTTCATCTGAAACAGTAATATGCATGTCAAATAACAATAACAGATTTTTTGGAGATAAAAATATATTTTATTAATTAATTAATATATCAAATTAATTTATGTAGCATAATTTTTCAATTAAAGTTAAATTATTACGCACAGGAAGACCAAAACAATGATACTCTTAGTGCAGCAGAAAAAAAAGCAAGTTAATATAGGTAGGCATTTACTTACAAGGCATATAGAAAGCAACGCATCCACACTTTGCCAAAGTATAGTTTGTCAGACATTCAAATTCGCAGTTCTGTTGCGTGTAAACCTGGAAAAACGATAGATGTCTTTCGTTGGGGAAGAAGCATTCTCTCTTATGCGGGTTATATTTGTGTACGGCATCCGAAGTTGTCATCATATCAGGAGTTATAATTACAAGCAGTTCTTCATTAAGCGGAGCCTGTAGATAATTTGCGCGAACCCTGGGCATTTCGGCTGGATTGTGAAGTATAATCTGTAAAATAAACTCCAATCATGAAAATATTCTATTTTTGTATGAGTTTACAATACAGTTGTGGATTTATATTTCGATTATAACTCTATAACGTACATTGCGGGCAACCAGTAAACTATTCTACGAATAGTCGTTAATTCTTAAAGTTTCCTTTTTCATATTATTGTTTTAAGTATAACCTCCAAAATTCATTGTTTAAATGGCTAATTAACTGATTACGAGTACAATGCACCAGGACACAAACCACTCTCTGTGCAAAGGTTTCTGACGGAAGATCCACCCGACTCATGTGACTTAGATCCTTGTGACTTTTTTCTGTTCCCGGAAATCAACTCTGTTCTAAAGAGACCAGGTGTGAGTCTGGGAAGAAAAAAGGGGAAAGTTCATGAACGATCTCTCAAAAAAGAAACTGTAGAATTGGAAGACACATATGCAATGAGGACTACATTGGAGGGATGACATGTCTATTGAGTAATTTTGTTAACATTTATTAGAGCACCACTCCGCTTATTTTATAACCACACTTGGTATATTCTTTTACCTTGACTCCTTGAATTGGTCCTTTGCAGGAATAATCTAGGTTTTGATCAAAATCTGTTAGGACGAACACTTGGGATCCGGTGAAACCAGCGAATTTAGCACGTCTTGGGAAACTGTCCTTGTTGGCAGTGTCTGGGTACCCATCTTGTAGTGACCATCCCTGACTGCTTTCGCCTTCTGCCATATCATAATGCAAATACCTACAAAATTGGCCTTTGACATAATGAACAAATGAGTAATAATAAACTGTTGTTCAAAAGTAGACTAATAATATTTACAACGGTAACTAAAATACTTTAAAAAAACAGATATTCGGTTATCAGCTCTCGTTTTTTTTTTTTTTGTTAACTTATAAAGTATAGTCAGCCATTGCCGCTTGACCAAGCATTTTAATTACTCCCTCTATATACAGACTCTATTTAATATAATATGTAGTTAATTAGGAACTTTTCCATTAATGTACGATATTTTTTGGAGATTTTCATATTATGATAAATTTATCAGGAAACATATTTAAATCTAATAGTTCATGTACACATCGAAATAAATGTAATAAAGTATGTGTAAAATACGTAATATTAATCATGTGTATCATATCAGTATGATTCTACAGGGAAATTCAAATGTGTTTACAAATAATATGCCAAACAATTAAAAAAATATTGATTTATTCTTATTTAGGTCAAAGTAAATTTTAATTAACCAAATTGTAACTAATTGTTTTTAATACATGAAGTGTTATTAAAAGTACGTCTCTTATGAATTCCTATTTAAAATAAAATATTATTATGTAACCGACCTCATTTAGAGGAAAAAAAAAGAAAATTGTTACCTGGACTTTTATAAGTGGAAATGGTAAAGGGGCTTATAATAAAGAAAAAAATAAATAAATGCGTGAGCAGGGGTGGCGGAGGGTTGATTTGGGGGGTTGAAAAGTTGTGAAAAATTGTATAATCAAAAGTTGTAGATCATGCAAAAATCTACATATTTTGCAGAGGTCACATTTTAAGATAAACCTCAAAATTTCCGAGAAAAATGCGAAAAACAGTTCTTTTTCTGATTTTTCGTTTTATATTTCTTGGTGAAAGTATACCTTTTTGTGTCTTAAATAACCCCAAATTTTTTTAGATGAAAAAATCAAGTTTCGGAGATATTAATTTTTTCTGGTCTGAAACACTTTTTTTCAAAGAAAAATTCTATTTAGAAAAATCATCGTACAGAGTTCTGCCGGTGATCAGTTTATTCGTTTTGACATTTACTTTTTGGTTAAATAAAAAAATCTGTAAACACAGTTCAAAAACATGCTTAAAAAGGCAAAAAAATTAAAATGACTTGCAACAATTAATTTTTCAGTAGTTGTTGATAATTTGTTTAAATTTAAAAAAAATATCAAAAACTGATTAGACCATTCAATTGTACGGAAAAAATACAAAAAACTGTCTCATTGTTTGACCTAAAACTTTATTTTTGTACAGTATTGCTATAAACATAAGTCGAATAGTGAATAAATAAAATAAACAATAACTTTTTTCCGTAGGATCGATTTGTGTAAAATTTTGTTGAATTCATAGATGTACAGTGTGTCCAAAATAAGGATAGGATAGCTTTAAAATCTAGGAAACGGTAAGAGATATGTGGTGGCTCATTAAAAAAAAGTTGTGTTTTTTATACCTAACAATATGCCGTTTAGAAAGTTTTAAAATTCCGGGTAGTTCCGGGGATATCCGGAAAAACCCGAAATTTTGCAATTCTTTTTCTGGCTTTATTTGAAAACGAATTTTAAAATAAATTGCATATTCACATTGCCACTTTTTTCGCTCTATCCAATTGCGTCAACATTTTTGCAATCCGACGTTTCGTCTTCGAGGGGCCATCATCAGGTTAATTTTTTTAAATACGTGGCTGCAATTTTTATGACAAAATCTAGTCATTTTTAATTCTGAATTAGATGATATTACTATTGTAATAGCTTAAAAGGTTTTTAGCTATAATTTAAAATTTTTCCTGAGTACGGCTCTGAACGCTTTCAAAATATCTATTGGAGGAAGTCATAACAGTATAAAAGTCAATACCGCACAAAATATTTCATAAATTCGTATTATTTTTTTGTTAGGTACAACTTTTTAAATTATTGATTAAAAAAAATTGTTGGATATTTTGTGCGGTATTGTCTTTTATACTATTATGACTTCATCCAATAGATATTTTGAAAGCATTCAGAACCGTAAAGAGGAAAAATTTTAAATGATAGCTAAAACAAGCTAAAAAAATAAAACAATTTCGCAGAATTTCGGGTTTTCGGGTTTCGCGTCAACAGTAGACTTTGCAGTTAATACTTTGTATTGCTGAAACTTCAAATCATCCAGAGATAATTTGTCATGTGTGTATTTGTAATTCAACTTGGATGTTTATAGCAATATTGTACAAAAATAAAGTTTTGAGTCAAACAATGAGAGTAATCAGTTTTTGATTTATTTTTAATTTTAACAACTACTGAAAAATTCATTGTTGCAAGTGATTTTTAATTTTTTTTTTGCATTTTTGAGCATGTTTTTGAACTGTGATTACATATTTCACCAAAAAGTATATGTCAAAACGAAAAAAATTATACTTGTAAACTTTGTACAATGATTTTCCTAGGTAGAATTTTTCTTTGAAAAAAATCAAAAATCAGAAAAACCTGTTTACCGCATTTTTCTCGGGAATTTTGAGGTTATCTTAAAAAGTGACTTCTGCAAAAGCTGTAGATTATTGCATGATCTACAACTTTTGCATTGGATACTTTTTTGTTTGACGTCAACTTTCGTCAGAAATCTCAATGATACAATTTTTCACAACTTTTCAAATCAACCCTCCGCCACCCCTGCTCATGCATTTATTTTTTTAGGTTTATTATAAGCCCTTTCACCATTTCCATTTATAAAAGTCCAGGTAACATTTTTTTTTTCTCCAAGTGTAATATGTACTCATTAATTTGCTTAATTTTTCCTTCGGCAAAATTACAGTGGGATTTTAATTTAATTGTGTCTATGTCAGTTTTAGAAATTAGTTGTCTAATTTTTTCTGAATTTTGATTTACTGATTATTGTCCTGAAGATATATTTTCTGGTTATATTAAACTGGTTTTATTACATAATTTTCAGTTTGGTTCTCTCTGTAAGTGAAGTTAATTCAGTAAGGATTGTTTGTGTTCCAATTAAAAATTCCTACCGGGAAAATATCAGAATTAAAAAAAAAAGAAAATCCTGAGACATCGATTTTCTTTTCAAGGGGAACATGCGATGGCGTGTGTCTTGGTATCTCGGAAGCTACCTCTTAGACAGGGGCATAAACTTTAAATTGCAGCCTATGTTAAGTGACATCTCATTTTAAAGCTTTTTCAATTCTGCTCACGACGACATACGACTTTTTAAATTTTGGTCTGGATATGACAATACACTCATCACTTACAGTATAAAACAATATCAATGAATGAAAGAATGTCATTTTATTAAGTGTTCAAATTGGTTTCTCTTCACTTCCATACAATAATAAAATTTTTGCTCCACTTCTGAACGAACATTTCGAAGCATTTCTGGCGGTATCTGACGACATTCTTCAGCAATCAACGAAGCCCCTCAAGTGAGTTAGGTCGTGCTGCATACATTTTCGACTTTAAGTGTCCCCATAGAAAAAAGCCAAAGAGCGTTAGATTTGGCGATCTGGGAGGCCACTCAATTGAACGTCTGCGTCCCATCCAGTGATTTGTAAAGTTCTGATTAAGAAAATCACGCACAGCTACGGCATAATGTGGTGGAACACTGCTCTGCGTGGAACAACATCCTGCTGAAATCATATATCCTCTTCTGGTAAAGCGTTGTCGGGAAGATAGAAAGGCCCTATGAGGTGGTCTCCCAGTATGCCCGTCCAAGCATTCAATTTCCTCAGATGTTGCGTACGAGCGGCAATGATGGCGGTTGACTCGACCATCCAATTGGAACATATTATAGTCATCGAAAAAAACATATTGTGTACAAAATATTTGGATTCCTTCGAGCATAAAAATAGTAACTGGTTTCAAAAAATAATCTCAATCCACGCTTTAACTTCATAACAAATAAAAATAATACAAATAGAAGAAAATTCATTTTAGTTAGTTAAATACTACCTGTTTGTTGCATTTACCTAACAAAACTACTACAAAATAAGTATAGACCCATAACTAAGGAACACTCCGTATTTGACGGGGTTATAAACATGTTGCTTAACTCACACGTTATCATTAAAGAATTCCTTTCTCCCTAACATATTAGAAGTATAACATAATCCGTCTTCTGTAAGAATTTTTCTGAACGTTACACTGCAGTTTTCTGGATGTAAGTCCCATCTACATTGAAATAATATATTTTTCACTTCCGGGGCAATCTAAAAAAAATGTATTAGCTCTTAAGTAGATAATCACAGTTGCCTTATTATCAAAAATAATTTTAAAATATACAGGGTGGGCCATTAGTGTGAGAAAGTAAAATAACTCCCTTGTTATTCGTAATACAAAAGAAAAATTTATATAAAAGTTGTACAGAATCAAAAAACCTAAAGGACAAAATTAATTTGAAATACACAGGGTGATGAGTAAAATCGGGACGCCAAATACTACATTTTTTAAACGGAACATCCTGTATATTTTTAAAAATATGAATTTTTGAGAAAACTCTATATATGGCAATATAAACAGTTTAACATTTTAGTGCGAGGTTACCAAGTTATGTAGAAAATTCATCGAATTTTGGAAAAAACATGAAATCGAAGAAGTTGTATTAACTTTCAACTACTAACACTTGGTAGCAAAAATATTTGACAGAGTTATAGGCAAATGTTAGGCAAAGACTCCGATATTAGCTAATATCGATATTTTATACAGGGCATTTTTTATAATGCGATCATTTTAAGAAAGTTCAAACTTGATTTTCTAAAATTTTTCAAATGGAACACCCTGTATTTTATTGTTCTATTTTATTCACATATCAGTCCACTTCAACTTTTATTAAGTATGTTCTACACCTAAAGTTGTTAGTTTTTAAGATATAGCAACATTTCTGGAAAAACCTAATTTTTATTATTTTCGGTCGCACGAAATGGCTTTGGAAAAAACTGTCACATTGTGTCAACTTGTCAGTTCATAATTTATCATTCCATTTTGAGTTAATTTTATTAGTTAATATTTATTTGTGGTATTCTATAAAATAATAAAAATTAAGTTTTTTCAGAAATGTTGCTATATCTTAAAAACTAACAATTTTAGATATAGAACATGCTTAATAAAAGTTGAAGTGGACCGATATGTGAATAAAATAGAACAATAAAATACAGGGTGTTCCATTTGAAAAATTTTAGAAAATCAAGTTTAAACTTTCTAAAAATGATCGTATTATAAAAAATGCCCTGTATAAAATATCGATATTAGCTAATATAGGAGCCTTTGTCTAACATTTGCCTATAACTCTGTCTAATTATTTTGTTGCAAGTGTTAGTAGCTGAAAGTTAATACAACTTCTTCGAGGTCATGTTTTTTCCAAAATTCGAAGAATTTTCTACATAACTTGGCAACCCCGCACTAAAATGACAAACTGTTTATATTGCCATATATATAATTTTCTCAGAAATCCATATTTTTTAAAATATACAGGTTCAGGGCCATATGTAGAACACAGGGTGTTTCATGTAAAAAATGTAATATTTGGCGTGTCCCGTTTTTACTCATCACCCTGTATGTATCAAATTAATTTTGTAGTTTAGGTTTCTTGATTCTGTATAATTCTTATATAAACTTTTTTTCTGTATTATGAGTAACAAGGGAGTTATTGTACTTTCTCATACTAATGGCCCACCCTGTATGTAAAAAATGAAAATGAGAAGTGAACTTACAGCTGTTATGTGATCTATTGCGTCCAATCCAATTGTCTTATTACCTTCCGAATAAAGATAATTGTCACAAACAAGGGAGCTTGCGGAGAAATTCTTAGCTCTGAAAGTCAATTAATAAAATGTGCTAAATTTGGCAAAATAGCCTTACAATCTATTCTAGCAACGGTTTACGTTATATCTCCTTAGATATTACCGGATAATAATAGAGAATAAATAAGGGAGGCCAGTGTCGATTGTAACAAAAATTACAATTATAATCTTGGAGCCCAAAGTGTTTCAATAATTTTCTTGGAAATTGTATCAGCATGCTAATGGATTAATTTGATCTTTTTCCAAGCAGAAAAAAAAATTTATCATCCGTTGCAAGTGATACTGTGTCGGTGTAAATTGTAACATGTCAAGATGCATGTTGTAACAGGCTGTAAAAAGTAACAGAAACGTATCTAATACTGCCTTCTTTTGAAGAATTTTCTTTTTCACTCATCTGTTCAATGTTGCAATCTGTTTAGTTAACAACAATAAAATTGACGAAGAAAATAATGAGTGTTTATTAGTAATGTAAGTCTAAATATCTATTACAAAATGTTACAATTAACACCATCAGACTCGAAGTTGTTTAATGGAACTCATTTGTAAAAAAGTAAGTAAAATCAAGGCAACTGATAGTATAGATACTTTCCAAAGAATTAAGGTTCAACTTACTCAGCCTCAGTAAAGTTGACCCCGTCCATGAATTTATTAAGAGATTCCGTATAGTTGTACATTCCGTAAGTGGATTTCGTGTATGGGCAAATCGTTACTGCGGGGAAAGGTATTTTCCAAATGGAAGTTGGAGCTTTGGAAAAGCTTACAATAACCGGGCTTGAGTCCCATTTCTCCCACGTTTTAAAGGTCAGCACACTACATAAGATGATACTGATTCCTAACCAAAAGCTCCAGAATATTCTGCAATATAGAAAATTTTTCTTTTTACAACTTAGATATTCCTTGTTCAAATCAATATTTGAGAAGTGCAATTTAATATATGTTCTGTTTTTCTCTCCTATTAATAAATCCTTTTCGTTACTATTTATGATCTATTCCATATATGCAAAATAAACTCCTTTCTCGTCTTTGATGTCGAAAAATGAAATAATACCACTTTTTTTTCTTTTTTTGATCATTACGTATTGTAGGTACATAAAAGTGGGTGGTATCGTGGAAAACTGGTGTAAGTGAAAAAATCAGTTGTTCCTTAGGTATGGAAAGTGGATACTCAGTATTCAGAGTCATTAGTTTACTCTGTGAGTGATTCCAATTAGAAAATGACTCTAGCAAAGTAAGACCTTTCCTGTCATATTTTTATAGATATTTTTGTATGACTCATCAGGACCCATGGGAGTAAAGACATTTTGTTATAATCGTTACGATATAAGTTGGAACCGCATAAAAACATTTAACTCATAAACTCTACAGAATCCATAGGCGTCCAGAAAAATTTTGCCTTGTCCCGTCTAGATATACCATATTCCGAGCTATATTCCTATTTAGTTAACGATATTCACAAATTTTTTGTAAATAATTTTCCCAAAGTGCAGCTATACGTCGTGATTCCATTACAATTGTCAAGTTTTTTATGTTTAAAATCGCATTGTAATAAAACACGTCGTAAAGTATCTAAAGATCTATAATTATAATCAGGATAATCGCTTAATTTATCTCGAATCATGTTTCAAGTAGAAACTTTATTTTCTTTATATTATAAATTCTGCGCCGTATTATCTACCTCTGGTAAAATCGTCAATATTCTTTAATTTTGTATTTTTCCATATCCTTTTTGTACCTGATTAATAACGCTTCCTTCTTTAATTACGCGATAAATTGTCGTTTTTTATATCTTAATTAATTGGCTAATCCGTTTCCTAATTTCTTTGTCACATTGTTTTTCTCTTTTCAAACATTCATATACAGGGATGACCAAAAGTACGGAATAAAATTCATATCTTTTGAATGAGTTAATTTTTTTTAAAACGCCGAAACACGTTAACTGATTTTGATTTTTTCCCGTCTTTCGGTTATATAATAATTAATTTTTCTTCAACCCCCTAACCCCCAGCTACCCCTACTTTTTTTTTAAATGGAAACATAAGGCATGAGGGGGCTCGTTGAAAAGCTTATAGAAAACCGAATCCAGCCATACCAAATAAACAAGTTTTATTTTTTCAATAGCAAGGTTTTTAGGGTTGTATAAAACACCTACTTAACAAGTGAAATAAAATTTAATTATCTTCAGTGTTATCCTCCATGAATTTGCACAGAATAAAATAAAGAATTTGAAACTGTACCTATCACTGCTAACGCAAAAAAGATATATTTTTTATGTTGCGTTTTTTTGGCACCACTTACTTGCCAGGCTTTCTGGTTAATTTTTCGCTTTAGTTGTAAATTGGAGTTCGAAACGTTACTATTGTGTCAAAATCAAGTTATTTACTGAATTGCAATGGTATTGTCGGAAAGGCAACGCATCGAAATCTTGATATTGCTTGGATGTGGAGACAAAATAAGAAGTCAGGCTGAAGTGCGCGATTTATTTAATGCGAAATATCCCGAAAACCAAATCTCGCAAGGGACAGTTAGTAAAATATTTCACAAATTTGAGGAACACGGTACAGTACAGACTTTGCCCAAAACTGGACGGGCACGTGCTTTGAATGAAGAAAAGAAATTAGACATTGCATTAGAACTTGTTGAAAATCCTCATACTTCAACTGTTTCATTGGCCCGCAATCACGATGCTTCTCGAACTGCAATTCGAATGTTTCTGAAACAAGAGAAATACCACCCCTATAAGGTATGTCTTGTCCAAGAGCTTTTGGAAGACGATTATGATAGGCGATTACAATTTTGTGAGGAAATGATGAGACGGTGTGACGACAATAATGGTTTTCAACGAGACGTACTTTTTTCGGATGAAGCTACGTTTTATTTAAATGGAGTGGTTAACAGGCACAACTATCGCTTTTGGTCCCAGGAAAATCCACACTGGACATGCGAATCGCATACGCAGCATCCACAAAAAGTTAATGTATGGGCAGGTATCATCAACAACAGAATCTTGGGCCCATTCTTTTTTGAAGAAAATCTTACTGCCGCACGCTACCTGGATTTCCTAACATTTGACCTGATACCTGCTCTAGCTGTGATTTTCCCTCATGAAATTGATCCAGATATACCGAATGAAAGAATTTGGTTCCAACAAGATGGCGCTCCCCCACATTTTGGTATTGATGTTCGAAGATACTTAGATGAAATGTTTCCAAATCGCTGGATTGGTAGACGGGGTACAGTTGAATGGCCGCCAAGATCCCCCGACTTAACACCCCTGGATTATTTTCTTTGGGGATATTTGAAAGAAAGAGTCTACCAGGACAGACCGGATAATATTGAGAATTTAAAGAACAAGATTAGGGCGGAGATGCATAATTTACCAGCTGAAGTCATTCAGAATGCTGTGGACAGCTTTTACTATCGTCTTGGAGAATGCCAAATAGTGAATGGAGGACATTTTCAGCATTTGCGACATTGAGTTTATTTTTGTAAATTATCTAGTTGTTTCAATTTCTAAATGAAAAAAAACTTGCTATTGAAAAAATAAAACTTGTTTATTTGGTATGGCTGGATTCGGTTTTTTATAAACTTTTCAAAGAGCCCCCTCATGCCTTATGTTTCCATTTGAAATAAAAAGTAGGGGTAGCTGGGGGTTGAAGAAAAATTAATTATTTATATAACCGAAAGATGGGAAAAAATCAAAATCGGTTAACGTGTTTCGGCGTTTTAAAAAAAATTAACTCATTCAAAAGATATGAATTTTATTCCGTACTTTTGGCCATCCCTGTATATTTAAAATAATATGTTGACTTTGTACGTGTAAATCTTTGTCTTTAAACTCTGAGTTTGTTTCAACGCTTTCGACGAAAACGGGCTCGACTATTTGGGGATTTTCCCGGGTTTTTCGTTATCTTCCGTTTCAAAGGGTCTCCAAAAAGCCTTGCTAAATTACTAGATAATTACATATTATATTTATTTTAATAACTATTGGTTACGACATGAACAAATAATAATATTAACTAATAATTAATAATACGTATTATATCAACAATAAATATACCACGCCAAGCACTGCTCTCCACTGCACTGGCAAAGCTAAGTGAACCGCGTTCGACACCAAACTAATTATTGAATACCATGCAAAAAAATATTTACGACCTAGTGGACTAATACAGGTTTGCTTTGACGACCAGCGCGCCGCCGTCGATTCTACATCAGGCGGACTGGTCTACCAATATCGGACTCGCTCAATGTCTATTCGAATATAAATTACGAGAAAGATCATGACTAAAGCATAGGAAGAAATTTCAAGAGAAGTGCAGACGGTCCTGTGCTTAAAGATTCACAAGTTCCGATTGATGTCGTAACAACTTATACCTATCTTTGTTTTTCTTTATCTCGCCACCCTTTTGGCGTGACAATATAATTTAATTTAACACAGCTGGAATTACCTATTGATAGTTATTTAAACAAGTCAGTTAGGTACAGTTAGGAGCCAGAGTAAAAGTAGCCTTTTTTTTTCATTTTATATAATAAATTTAATAAAACAAACATGTCTAGATAATAATTAATTTGCTGATTCACGGAGTTACACCTTGAAATATATCCAAAGAACTGTCATGAATTAGATTAATATAAAAGAAACGTACACAATGGTATAAAGGACCCCGCACAAACCTTACGGGAAACTCCGTTCGGTCAATTTTAATGAAATTTTGGGAATAGGTTGTTTTTGTTATGACGAACAAAAGTCTTCATGGGCCCAAAGCTCGCCAATGGACAGTTTCCGAGATATTCGATGTTAAAAGTTGATAATGCGAATGCGTGTCAAGCACGTGTTTAAATACTTATTACTCGCGTAAAAGCTCCATGAAGCTTAAAAACTGTATAATACGTATATATTCGTCTAGATAGTGCGTATCCATTCGTTTGTGTGTGTGTGTGTGTGTGTGTGTGTGTGTGTGCGTGCGTGCGTGTGTGTATGTGTATACTTTTCTGNCCTCATATATGTAATAACTATAACGACACATTTACACTCCGCTGAACCGTTAAATAGGAAAGAATTACTTGAATGTAACAACTATAATGTGGGGGCGCCACTTACCCAGAGTTTAAAATGTCCCCACTAATATAGTAATCATAAATGTGTAAAATAACTATAATTTTCTATATATGTGGGGACAATGTAAACCATTGCCTAGAAGTGGAACTAAGCGGCATAAATAATTGAAATTAAAATCATAATAATTGGAAAAAAATACCGAAGCAAATGTAGGAGATTTAGATCTTTGCGGTAGTAGTTATGGGTGTAATTCAAGGAAATAGTTGTGGGGACGGGTGCATGGCCCCACAACTGGAAAGGTCCCCACAGCCCTGGTAAATATCAGGCAATTATCCCCACAAGTATAGAAAAACATACACACACACACACACACACACACACACACACACACAAACGAATGGATACCACTATCTAGATGAATATATACGTATTATACAGTTTTTAAGAAGCTTCATGGAGCTTTTGTGCGACTAATAAGCATTTAAAGACACGCATTCGCATTATCAACTTTTAACATCGAATATCTCGAAAACTGCCTATTGGCGAACTTTGGGCCCATGAAGACTTTTGTTCCTCATAACAAAAACAACCTATTCCCAAAATTTCATTAAAATCGACCGAACGGAATTCCCATAAGTTTTGTGCGGGGTCCTTTGTTAAATCTCCAAACAAAGAATTTGTGGTGGTAACTTAAGTACGTAGCAGTATTAGTGTTAGTCAACTTTGATTTTGATAGACTTCAAATGGGAGAATTGCCAATAACCCTTAATCTACGATATAACTCAATTCTAAAAGCTATCATTTTATTATTATACAGGGTGATTTCACTTTAAATACAGAGACTGCAGGACTAGATTCGTGACCGAAAAATAAGTAGAGTTTGTTCTGTAAACTTTTTTCCTGCGGGACTCGCTATTCCAGATATAGTTTACAAAAGAATATATATTTTGTGCTATATCTTCATAATGCGCTGACGGAATTGAATGATATTTACTACAGCGTATTTACTTAATCAGACCTTTTACTGAATATTAATATCGTGGCTTTAACCATTGGCGTGCTACTGGAGGCGCCGCCCCATTTTGCCAAGAAAAAAAATACACTACTGGCGGTTTTTTGTAGAAATAATGTTATATTCGGGTACTATTACGTTAAATGAATGAAAATATTCCTTTGTGTTTTTTAATAGTAGCAGCCGTTCATTCATTCACTTAACGTAACAGTACCTGAATTTGATATTATTTCTACAAAACTACCGCCAGTGGCGTACTTTTTCTTGGGAAAACGGAACGGCACCTTTAGTAGCACGCCATTGGTTTAAGCCACGAGGTTAATATGACAATCAACAAAAGGTTTAATTAAGTGAATACGCTGCAGTAAATTTCATTCAAATCGTTCAGCGCAATATGAAGATATGGCAGAAAAAATTTTTTTTTTAAATTTGAACACCATGTATCTCGAATACCACGTCTCATGAAAAATGTTTATAGAGCAAACTATTCTTTCTTTTGGCAACTGTCTATTCCTGCAGTTTCTGTATTTAAAGTGAAATCACTGTGTAGTTCCTGTATCAGTTATTATCTTTACAATTTGAATTATATTGGCAATACAAGGAAAATTTTAATTCAGTTATTTTGTTCTCAAAACCACGAATGAAAAATCAAATTTATGAAAAAAAAACTGAGAAGTAGCAAAAAAATTTATCAAACTTTCAGTGTAGAATTGGAAATGAATTGTCCTAAAATCAGTTCGAATGAAAAACCAAATTTATGAAAAAAAACTATAAGAAGTAGTAAAAAAATTAATGAAACTCAGTGTAGAATTGGAAATGAATTGTCCTAAAATCAGTTCGAATGAAAAACCAAATTTATGAAAAAACTATAAGAAGTAGTAAAAAAATTAATCAAACTCAGTGTAGAATTGGAAATGAATTGTCCTAAAATCAGATCGCGTTAAATTATTTTATAGCAATCATATCTCCGCCACTGCTTAATTTTGCAGTTTGAGGGGTCATACGCAAATATTTTGTGTTTTAAAAGTTGAACTAAGGATATTATAAAATAAAAAATTATTTTATTTGAAAATTAGATTACCTTTCAAAAATGGGTCTTTTTTCTTCTCCTAAATACAAAAAGCCATGTATTCCAGTACGGTTTGTATATTGACGGAAGTATTTTATCAAATTCCACCTAAATCCGAATTTAACAGTTTCTTGTCGTCTACGGAAGTCGCTAATATCGGGCAACTTCTTTCTGTCTGATTGGTTTTCCATATTCTTGCACACCTGTTATCTCTCACGCGGTACCTACTCTTGTGAAATTCTTCTGAAGTTCTGTTAAAAAATTTAACAGGGTTTAAAGGATTTACTAACACATAAATAAATTACTCTAATTTTTACAACTCGTCCCGTTAAACAGCAGGGCGTGTTTTCGTGGTGGCATTCCACGTTTTTGACCCTGTAACTGTTTTGTAAAATCAGCCAATTAAAAAGAACCGCAAAGTTCAATGTCAATAAGTATAAACACGCATGCATATCAAGATAATGCTTTGCATGTCATAATTATCATGAGGTTTTCTCAATTTTATTAAACATACAACTAAAATTGTTTTTAAAATACTATTGAAGCAATGAGCTTTGTTGAGTGCATATTTTGCGTATAATATTATATTTCGGATTAAATATATAATGTCTACAGTTAAACATAGATATGATTTCTTCACAGAGAAGATAATTCACTATGTAATTTTTCGATTCTAAAAAATTTTTTAGAGATAACCTTGTAACAAATTATGTAAGTGTCGCACAAATCACAAATAAATAATTGCTAAAGGACTAACTACTACAGAACTTTAGGTTTAGGGTAATTGTAAAAATAACATAAGCAGGCTTTATTGTTTTACCAATTATAATCGGCGGTGTCAGTGCGTGGTTCATTTTTCATCTTCAATCATTTCCAATGGCTCCTAAATTTTTAAATTGAAACTTCATAAATTCAAACTCTGGCCATATAAAAAAATGTTGATGCAATTTGAGATGCAGGGATTTTAAATGATGCTGATTAATCTTATGTAGTCAGATTTTTTTTGAAAAAAATCTCTAAACTGCTTTTCAGAAAAATTGATTTGGAATTAAACTTAAAGAATTTAGAGACGTGAATTATACTGTATTACATTTTAACTAATGAACTCTGTAAATTACAGCCCTGTCCAGCACTGTAGTTCAATGCTGGACAATATCTTATAAATAGTTTCATCACTGAGTCGTCTCACAGAGGCATACTGATGATGACTAGTAAGATCGAAACTGGTTTATGTCTGGTGAATTTTCTGACGAGTAACCATAGCTGTTTATTAGATATGGTGGGTGTAATTCTATGCTGGAGCTGTAGTCGACAGGGTTGATATTTCCCATAATATCGTCAGTTAAAAACTCCATTTTGCCTAGTGCATACTAGTCATACTTTCATAGTATCTACAAATTAGTACGTCGCTCTGGGTCACTAGGTACAAAGCAATGATTTGTGCTAGTAGGCACTGGTAGCAGCAAGAATTAAGATATTATCACTCTACGCTCTTCTGTCCGAGCAAAACAAACAACATGACAAAAACTTAAATTGTAATATTTGTATGTTGAAATTTCCGATATAACATGAAAAGAAAAGCTGCTGTTGATAGCAAAGAAGCTTAATTGTTCCTAAAGATGTCTTAGCTAAAAGAAGTAAAAGAAAAGAAGCTACTATTCCCCTCTTCCGATACTTATGGACAATCTGTATTGTGGTATGAAATTTGGTGAAAACGCTGTATCAAATAATGTATTTTTTAATATGATGAAGTATTTTGCTTAATTGGACAATTAAAAATATGATTTTATTTCATTGTCATAAAAAGATCAACAATCTGTAAGAAAACTGGTCGATGAGTTTCTAAGAACAAAGCGTTATTGTATCTGCATAGAATATAAATATCTCAAATGAGGTACACTATACCTATTTTTGAATAATTTAAGGTGGGCCTTGAACTTCTTTGATATTTTTTTAACCGGGCCTAGAACTACACAATACACATCATTATTACCTAATAAAATGCATATTGTGCATAAAATGTTCTTTATTTTACAATACATTAACTATACTAGTGATACTGTTTTACAGTACATTTTTAAAAATATCCTGAAATGTGCCATTTCAATCCTTCTAAGTAAATACAAAAAATTGTTGACAATTTCGGCACAGAATTCTTATTACGAAAAATAAATTACATTTAAGTGACAATATCTCTTATTAAAAGTGTACTTTCTTAAATAAGTTCATAATGTATTACTAAAGCTAAATATTTCGAAATTTGAGCTTCTGGGTTTCATCTCTGCTTGGCCTTAAACTAAGAAGTTGAAAAAATTAGTCCAATTAATTAATGCACAGGGTGTATTTTACGATGAATTTTCAAAAATTTTTTTAAAAATATCAAGAATATTTACTTAAGAAAGTTATTGAGAACTAAAAGTTATTACAGATTGTGAATTTTGAATTTGATCGGCCAACTTTGTTTTTTTTTTCGTTACTTTCAACAAGACGGACCCAACGCATTCAACGCGAATCATTCGAGAATGGCTAGGGGGTCAGTTTCCTGAGCGGTGGATTGGTCGAAATGGCTGAATTCCTTGGCTTCCTAGAAGTAATGGACTTTTATTTATGGGGTTATCTCAAGCAGAAAGTTTATGGGCTCCCGTTGAATAACGCTTTATTTGAATCCAAAACGCCTACACAGAATTTACCAAGCGCACTGAGTGATGTGTCACTGGCAGCATATTTGAATAACCATTATATTATTTGTTTATTTATGTTCATTATACTGGTTATGTTTTTTTCTCTAATAAATAATTAGGAATTTGTACTTTGTGGTTGTGAAAAATAAAAAAAAAACAAAGTTGGCCGATCAAATTGAAAATTGACAATCTGTCATAACTTTTACTTCTTTCTTAAATAAATATTTCTGATATTTTTAAAAACAGAGGTACTTTACTCTTGACAATTTTTGATCATCGTAAAAACACCCTGTACATTAATTAATTGGACGAATTTTTTCAACTTCCTAGGTTAAAGCCAAGCAAAGATGCCCAGAAGCTCAAATTTCAACTCGAAACATTTTTGTCATTTACACCACACATGCACTCAATCCCTGGACACACTGTATATTGTATATAAAATGTATGTTACTATTTAAAACAATCATTTTAGATTATATATTGTATATATTTATGGAGTATAATATGAGTGAAACCTAAAAACAATATTCATTGGTTTATTCATGAACATAAGCATCGTTGTTAAGTAATTTTGGAGATCCTGACCAGTAGTGTCTGCCATACATCTTCACATTGCACATCAACCTTGACGAAAGAAAATGGACTATTTCCACGATAGACAAGAAGGAAAATCCAGTGAACAGTCCAAGAATACCCCCACAGTTGGCAAAAAAATTCGTCTGGCTGAATAGTTCGTATAGTTTGTTCCTTTCCGAATTTATGAATTGCTGCCGTTTGAAGAACAGGTTCAATCTAGTGAAGTGCATTCTGAAATATAAAAGAAACATCGAAAGTAACTTATCAGATAATTCCGGTGATATCAACTTACCCTGGGAATTCGCTTTCATTATGTCGGGTTGCTTCAAATGTTTTCTTCCAGTTGTATTCAGCTTGGGTAGACTCAGCGTTGTACGTTAAGGAAGTACAGGCTGGTAGACAGTCACAATCAGCATCATCACTAATATCGAACGTAGAACTTGATAGCCCAGATTCCACTTCTTTCTCTAATAGCTTTGCTAAAGAAGAGATAATTGGTAATATAAATTAGAAGATGTACATTTCTTTATCTTTTACTGTGTATCAAGATATACTGTAACACTTACTTTGTGCATCGAACATACATTTGATGCTACCAGAACCGCAAATTGGCGTTGACTCCTCATCTAGAACGATAGAACAATAAATATACAGGGTGTTTTTGAATGAAGTAGCATAAATGATACCAGTGAATCTACATTTCAAAAGAACACGATCTGCAAAAAATCGCCTTAGTAAAATGTTCACCCCCTGAAGAGATATGGGCCATCAAAGTTTCCAAAAAAATTATGAAAATTGGCTGTAATTTGAAAACCGAACGAGGCAGATGCGAGTTTTCAACTATTTTTCGAAAATTTTAACCCCTCGAAAGGGGTTGAAGTAACCACCCCTCAAGCCATTTTTTCCCATAACTTTTATATTTCGTAAAAACTCGATATCCAAAAATACGCATTAGATAAACTGGTTCTTTTAGAAACTTTTACCTTTCTAGCAATTTTCCTTTAAAACTTTTCGTTTATTAATAAAAAAATAAAATGTATTACCATTCACCTCACACCGTATATGATTGCAATCAATCAAAGAAAAACTAAGTGTGCTGCTGTCATGCCAGTTGTCACAATTAACTCTTCTGTAAGTTGTCACTGTTTTCAGCTAAATACTTTCTGGGTGTAAATTAACAAGAATTATGTCAAATTTTACTAATGATGAATATTTATTTATGCTACTCCATTCAAAAACACCCTGTATAAAAAACAAAACAGCATTAATCAGAGTATTCTAAATAATGCAATAGCTGTAGAATTCTTTTTGACATTGATAAAACTTGCGTGAAAAGCAGAACATGTGACAATTTGTGTATTTATAAATACTACAAAAGAAGTACAGGGTATCCCAAACTCGACGCCCCAATGATATTACAGGGTAACGAAAAATGTTACTGAAAATTTGAAGTATGAAGTTCAAGCGGCACGGATTGAAGTGCATTTTGCATCAAAAATTAAAGTTTTACATATTTCGAAAATTGTGTTGATGACGTCATGAAATATTTCCTCCAGGAACGTACCTGTATTTTTCCATATTTAAAAGGAACATATTTTTCCGATAAACTTTTATTTAAAAAAATTTTCTCTATCTATTTTCATTAAAAAGTTATGATCAGAAGTAAAAATAATAATTACAAACGATTTAGTATAATAATAATTATTTTAGAATTTACTTCTTCGTTATTGCCGTTGAAAGCTTTCATACAAGGCTTGCTATGACACTGTTAATGATGCAAGTTGCCAGAAGTCCTTGAAACAGTATTATCAAATACATATGTACATACTACACATGTCTTTAATTAATCACAAAGGAAACAAAAACAATAAAAGTGGAACAAAAAAACAAGAAGTATTTTACATATATAACCAAAATTATTATAACATATTTTTTATGTGTCCACCCCCTGTAGCTAAACATAAATCTAACCGACGCTTAACTTCTTTTATAATTGCGTTCCTCAGCATATTAGGAGTAAGCTCTTCACAGGCATTTCGAATTTTTTCTTTTACATGTTCTATATTACGTGACACACTTTTGTAGACTATTCTTAAGGAAGCTCCATAAAAAAATGTCTAAAGGAGTTATGTCGCGAAATTCTCCGGGTCATTTTATGGATCCATTTATTCTAATCCATTGTTCCCCGAAAACAGTATTTAAATAATCCTTCACAATAAACGCTTTTTGGAGTAGGGCTCCATCGTGCTGGAACCATAAACTCCTTCGCAACTGCAAAGGGATGTTTTCGAGAAATACTGGGGGTATTCTGTACTATTCAACCCATCTTCATAAAAGTATGGTCCTATCAGATGCCATCCAATTGCACCACACCACACCAAAATGTACTTGTTTTGTATAGGATGAACAAATTGTGGATTCTCAATGGACCAATAATGTTAATTTTTTTTATTTGGTAAACCATTACTTACAAAACGGCTATTATTCGTCCAAAGGATCTGAGGAAATATTCGTCGATCAGAAATTTCAGCAGCTACCGTGATTTGTGCAAGGAAACTCAATCTTCTTTCTAGATGAATTTCAGGTAAATATTCCAAGTTAAGTATTTTAAAATCGTGGTAATCATTAGCCTTTAATATTCGATGAATCGAAGATATTTTCAACTTTAACTCGTGACTAGCTTGTCTTATTGAGTTTCGCGGGTGGTTCTCAAAATATTGTACCACTTGTTTAGTAGTATAGTCATCTTGAACCCTTTTTCTTATTGATTTTCCCTTTCGAATCGAAAATGAATTTTCATTTTGTCGTAGGTTTCTTTCTAGCCTGACAAACATTTTGTGGCTAGGGACTTGACATCCAGGAAATCTTTCCCTATACAACTGAACAGGTCTTCTAGAATTTTTCTGGGATTCTCCATAAATTAATAACATTTCAAATTTTTCTGAGTGTGATAGCATTGTTACAAATAATCGAAAAAACACTGAAAACGACTGACTACCCTGTTTGTAAACAATTGGAAGCGCTAAGCAATACTCGTTTGACACTTTGATGACATTATAATAATGCAACTCGATCAATTGTTTTCCAGGGAATGTCCGATCAAGTTATGACTTATGTAACTTTGACATTCTAATTATTGTTTTTACTTCTGATCATAATTTAATGAAAATATATAGGGAAAAATTTTTTAAACAAAAGTTTATCGGAAAAATATGTTCTTTTTAAATATGGGAAAATACAGGTATATTCCTGGAAAAAAATATTTCACGACGTCATCAATACAATTTACGGAAATATCCAAAACTTTAATTAATGGTGCAAAATGCCCTTCCATGCCGTTTGAACTCCGTACTTTAAATTTTCAGTAACATTTTTTTGTTATCCTGTAATATCATTGGGGCGTCGAGTTTAAGCCACACTGTACATAAAAATATTGGAAATAGATTAGCGCCTCATTCACACTGAACCGTAATCGTTGGAAACATTTTATTGTCCACAGCTGTACTTACGAGGCATGTGGTAGGCTACACATTTGCACATCTTCAGAGTGAAATTTGTCAAACATTCGACTTGACAGTTTTGTTGTGTGTAAATCTGGAAGAAAGACAAGTATCTTTCGTTAGGAAAGAAGCATTGTCTTCTATGAGGATTGTAGTCCTTTAGTCCTCCTGACGTAGTCATCATATCCGGTTTTATAGAAACCACCATCTCCTGATTCAGCGGAGCCCTTAAGTACTGCCTGCTGACTCTTGGGACCTCTGCAGGTTGATGTAAGAAAACCTATAAACCCACAATAGAAAATGATCATGAAAAACGATTTCAGTAACCTTGAATCCTTGAACTGTCCCTCTACAGAGGTAGTCCAAGTCTGGACCATAAGCTTTTAGTTCTAGAAATAGACCAGCTGAGGAGCCCGCAGACATGGCCCTTCTGGGGAAGGTGTCCTTCTTTGCGTCCCTCTTGTAGCCCTCTTGCAACGTCCAGTCTTCAGTGTCTTTCCCGTGGTGCATATATTTACGGTCTAAGTAGCTACAAGTAAGATATTTGATTCTAGTACTGATATTTTAAGTTTTAATTCTAGAAATATTTAATAAGGCCGAATTTAATGTATTAGCTGTTTAGTAATATTATACAGTGCTTTCGAGAAGTAACGAATAAATTCATTATTTTTTAAATTGAGAAGTTTTCGAAAAAATCCCCTGGCACGTCGATTTTGTTTTAAAAAAAAGGAACTTTTTGACATACGACCCATATTTGTGACGTCATCGTTGTTCGAGATATGACGTCATCGACAATTTTTTTAAATATCTACCCCCAATTTTGACCATGCCATTTGAAAGAGCGTGTCATTCTACATATACATCATGAAAAATTATGGTGATACATAACAAAAATTTCAAGAAAATAATGTTTGAAGATTCTAAATATTGTAAAATACTGAAAATGATAATGATTATGTAAAAATCGACTAAATTAAATGTTCAAACTGTGGACCGTTGGCTGCCTGACAGTAGCCAAGACGATTAATAAATTCTTTTTGGACATTATCAATAACTTCAGGAGGTATACGATGTATCTCGTGACGAATTCTTGCTTTTAAATCTTCTAAATTAACCAGTCTAGTAACGTATACTTTGCTTTTTAAGTATCCCCACAAGAAATAATCTAGGGGTGTCAAATCAGGCGATCTGGCTGGCCACTCAATCGGCCTCCTTCTCCCTATCCAACGATTCGGGAACAGCTCATCTAAATAAGCACGGACAGGTGTTGCATAATGGGGAGGTGCACCATCTTGTTGAAAGAAAATGTCATTTCTTGGAAGATCATGTCCCTCTATATCTGGATATAAAGTTATTAGTTCAGGAATGAGGTCGTCTTGAAGAAAATCCAAATATCTTGCACCAGTTAGGTGATAATGTCCAAAAAGAATTTATTAATCGTCTTGGCTACTGTCAGGCAGTCAACGGTGCACAATTTGAACATTTAATTTAGTCGATTTTTACATAATCATTATCATTTTCAGTATTGTGAAAATTAAATTTTAAAATCTTCAAACATTATTTTCTTGAAATTTTTGTTATGTAACACCATAATTTTTCATGATGTGTATGTAGAATGACACGCTCTTTCGAATGGCATGGTCAAAATTGGGGGTTGCTATTTAAAAAAATTGTCGATGACGTCATATCTCGAACAACGATGACGTCATAAATATGGGTCGTATATCAAAAAGTGCCTTTTTTAACAACAAAATCGACGTGCCAGGGGATTTTTTCGAAAACTTCTCAATTTAAAAAATAATGAATTTATTCGTTACTTTTCGAAAGCACTGTATTAATTATATGGAGAAAATACTACAAATTCTGCAAATTATGTATGTAGAAACAATGTTTCAGTTATTTATTCCACATTAGGTATAAATTGTTTTATTTTTTTTATTTATTTATTTTTATTTTTATACACCACCCAACAGAAAATTCCATTTACACGATGGATAAAAACAGAAAAATACAATACATGTAATAACTAAATAACAGAATATAAAAAAAGAAGAAAAACGATAAATATGTATACAAATATACTTAACCTAAATCACCATGAATATAATGCATGTTCACTCAATGATTATTATTTGTTGATACGTTTGCAAATTTACACATTTCGTATATAGGAGAGTATTTGAGAATATTCGTACGAGGAGTTAATAAATAAGAACACTGCTCATGTCTGGATGTTGCACGAGGAACATGAAAATATAAATAACTAATCAAATCACAGCTGTCTATAACACCCTGACATAGCTTATGAAGAAAAGAAAATGAGAATTTATCTCTTCGAGCCTTCAATGATGTTAGAGAAAATCTTTTAAGGAGATCATCATGAGGAAAACCAACACACGGATAAACATTATCCAATTTAAATGCCAACAATTTTAAGAATTTGCGTTGTACAATAATCTTAATATGTACATTGTAATGGGGATTCCAGATAAGGCATGCATACTCCAATTTGGATCGAACAAACGCAATATACAACAATTTTACACTGTTTTCATTCACACGAATTCACGAATTTTTCATTATAAATTCCAGCATTTTATATGCATTAGCCAGTACGGACTGTATATGATCGGTAAACGTTAGATTGGAATCGACCGTTACACCCAAGTCTCGAGATGTTGTTTCCCTGTTTAAAATTTGCTCATTTATATTATAATTATATAATGTTTTCGTGGTTTTGTGTACATTTTTTTTTCTGTACATTCAAGTTTAAATTGTTATTAGTGTACCACTCATATATTTTCGATAAAGACTGTAATTTTGGGCAATCTTCAGTATACGCAATACTAGAAAAAATCTTCAAGTCATCCGCATACATCAGACAGGGGACATCCAAGTCATCCATAATGTCATTGACAAAAATATCACAGACAAAATAGCTATCGCCACAGACCGCTACTCGAATAGGCCAGCAGTTTTAAATTTCCGAATTGCCGGTAGAGTACACCACCAGCAGAATTTGAGGAAGAATCAAATGCAGCGGCCCGCATACATACGCGTATCCTAGCAACATATAAACAAGACTTTGGTAATGTTGCCAGGCGTACTTACAATCCGTAAGTACGCTTTTTTTATCAATATCTGTTTTTTGCGTAATTGTATTTACTTAAATGTATGATGTAGGTATTGATAAAAATGTTTTTAAAGAATCAACGAATATCTATGTAGTTTCATATGATATTCTGCAGCGGTGTTACAATTAAGTTACATATTTATAATAATTTCGTTAATTAGCTACCTATTATTTCCATTTTTTGGTATTGAAATACTGCAGAAAATATATTTCCAAATAAACAAAATTCGTAATGATATTTTAAACAGATTGTAATATAATTTTTTTAATATTTCATGATGACGATAAATTTATTTAATATACAAGGTGAGTTATTAGTACGTCAGGGAATGTAGATACAGGTATTTTGACATCCACTTATAGGTTTAATAATTAAAGATAGAAAGAAACTTTAAATACAAATATACGACTTTTCCTTTATTTCTTTTGACATCAAAATTTGCTTGCATAAAATATATATGTTTAAAATAAAAAAATCATTAAAAAAGTTAAAATTCATCCTTATGAAAATAACAAACAACGATTTTTATAACTAACCTTTACAACAACATAAGGAAAATACCTAAAAAAAAATAACATTAAAATACCTACAATTTTTACAAATCAACATGCAAGTAATTGATATGGTACAGTTGAAAATATGTTTTAATTTACTATTAATTGCTTCAAAAACAAATTCAAAATTATCAAACATTTCGTCCTGTATTCTTCTTTCAATACTTGTAAATTTTCAGGTCTTTAATAATATATTTTGTTGAAGTGTCCCCACAAAAATATGTCTAAAGGACTGAGATCGAGGCTGTTTTCTGGCCACCTAAGGTTTCTAATAATATTTTTTAGTGTTCGTTGACGGGATTCTTCCTCCAAAATAAATTTACCAATATTCCCGAAGAACTTTTGCACATTATTGTTATTTGAATAATACAGTTAATTATGTTTTATTTTTCGTCATCAGAATAACCCATTGAATTACGGGTTATTCTAATAATGATAAATCTCATGTATTTTTAAAAGAAAAATCTCCGCACCTCCCCGGGACCTCAACGCAGAAGGGACATACACACCCTTCTGCGTTGAATGCAAGAGGTCCGAAGTCCGTATGTGGAAAATACATTTTGGAAACAAGAGGTGTGTGACATGATATAGTAAAAAGGCCGTATAACTCGAAAATGGTGCGTTAAACAGAAAAAAATAATTGAAAAAATCTCCCCACACCCTTGGTTCTGTATGTCAGTTCTGCGTTGAATGCAAAAGGTCCGAAGCCCTTATGTCGAAAATAAACTTTGGAAACAAGAGGTGTGTGACGTCATAGAGTAAAAATCCCGTATAACTCGGAAACGGTGCGTTGAATCCAAAAAATAATTTAAAAAATCTCCTCACACCCTTGGTCTGATTGTTTTTTTCTGCGTTGAATGGAAAAGATCCGAAGTCCGTATGTGGAAAATAAATTTCGGAAAGAAGACGTGTGTGAGGTGATACAGTAAAAATGGTTTTATAATTCGGAAAAATAATTAAAATAATCTCCCCACTCCTCTGGTTCTGATTGTCCGTTCTGCGTTGAATGGAAAAGGTCTGAAGTCAGTATGTCGAAAAACAAAAAAGTTAGTCAAAAATTGCAACAGCAGAAGCGAACGCATTATCTTATCTCTGTATTGATTGATGATTTATTGTTTTTTTTAAATAAATTTCGTATTCAACTACTTGAGGTTCCAACAATTTTACATTGTCTTAATTTTTTTGAACACCGTGTGTCACAAATATGAGCACTACCAATGGTATCCATGATATGCAACACTTGTGTCAATAATTATTTTACCTATCTAAAGAAATAACGATAAGAGAGCGCAGTACCTACCCATCTAAGGATAATGCAATTTTTTTAAATATAGGTGTTAATATCGTACCATATTGGAAGTCGACGCACAAATCTAAAAACATTAATTTCAAGTTTTTGAATTCTCCCATTCCAAGGTGATATAAAATAAATAATTAATTAGGTAAATTCATAGTTTTAATTCTAACTTGATTTATTTTATTTAGCATTTAAGGTAAACGTGATTTCCAAACAGAAGATAAGTTCCTATCTCTTTAATTACATAACTGAAAGCATTAAATTTATTTAGCAGTTATTATTTGGCAACAAAGCCACCGCTGGAACTGCCGCCTATTACCAAGTAGAAGAGTTACTACGCTAAATTTTATAGCTGGAAGCCGGCTAAGGAGACCCTGCATCCATTTTAGGCTGCCAATTTCCAGCATTTAAGTAGCAGTCTGTGGCGATAAGCTATATTGTCTGTGAAAATATTAAAGAAGAGAGGACCCAATATGAACCCCTAAGGGACACCAGATGGACTAATGTATTCGACAGACTTGTGACCACGATGAGAAACATATTGACACCTACCAGAAAGGTAGGATTTAAAAAAATCAATGAAGGTGTTGGAGATACCGTAGTGGTTCAATTTGAACAGTAGCTTTTTATGATCAAGTCTGTCGAATGCCCTGGAGAAGTTAGTATATATGTCGTCTGTTTGAAGGTGTAAATCAATGGTTGTGGCAATATACTGAGTTATACACATTAGATTTGTTACAGATGAGCGACCTTTCATTAACCCATGTTGTTGAGGAGATAAGGCACCTTTTACATGGTTATATAATAGTTTATAAAAAATAATCTCAAAGCACTTTGAAAAGTTGCATATAATCGTAATGGGCCGAAAATTAATGATTTCATTTTTTTTGCCATTTTTAAAAACAGGACATACTTTGACTCTTTCCCAACAGGATGGGTAAGTATTAGATTTAATTGCAAGATTGAACACAACATAGAGAGGATTAGCAAGGACATAGGCACAATAAAGAAGGCTGGAATGCCATCCGGTCCTGTGGTAAATTTAGTTTTCAGTGTTTAATATGTGTAAATAATTGTAAATGGTATATTGTGCGAAATTAATTAATATTCCGAGCAAAATAGTATATTATGATGTATGATGGAGAATAAGTGATACTTTATGTGCTAAACGTGGAAAGTTGGTCTGAAGAACGTAGTGAGTCAGACAATCCATGCGAAGCACATAAAGTATCACTTATTCTGCGAACATCATACACTATTTTTTCTTCAGACTTCATAGCGCAACGCTTGAGTAAATAACATCACGCCGTTGCACATAACCCCCTACGCTATAGGTCCCACAGCGAGCGCGCGTGATACAATAGTACATTATGTAACGAGTGGGGAAAAGTTGCACATACTATTTTCTATCACAAGTGCGAGTCGTTATGGGACCTATAGCATAGCAACGCTCCAGCGTTGCGCTATGAAAATAACATCACGCTGTTGTACTATCTAGCACTTTCCGTGCACCTAACCCCCTACACTATAGGTCCCATAACGACTCGCACTTGTGATAGAAAATAGTATGTGCAACTCGTTCGGAAAAGTTGCCATAGCGCCACTTGGGCGCTTTCCGCACTCGCTTCGCTCGTGCGTCAACTGCGTCCGCGTGGCGCTATTGGCAACTTTTCCCCACTCGTTACACAATGTACTATA